AAAAAAAAAAAAAGTTGAGAACGATATTTTAGGGTTTTACCCGGTCGGATCTGACATGGACTGGGTTGGAATGAGTCGACTCACTTGTAATGGTGTGTGTGTGTATGTGTATTAACGGGTCGGATCGGGCATGGGTTTGTTTCGAATGGGTCGACTCATTTACCATTGCAAGTGGTAATGGGGTGCGTGTATATATATATATATATATATAAGAAAGTTGGTTTGATAAAATGGAATATTGTTTTGATCACAACTTAAATCTGACATATGACCAATGAAAGTCTTGGATTGTTAATCGTCTGGTTTAGTTCTGCCAAAAGGAGATGAACAAAAAAAAATTTGAAAAGTAAAAAATTAAAGGGAGAATAATAAATAAAAATTCAAAGCAGAGAGAGGGAAAATTAAAAAGATTATTATTATTATTATTTTATATATATATAAAAAAAAAAAAAAAAGGAATCAAGAAAAAAGGGTTAGAAATTTGTGTCCAGAAAAAGTCTCTTTTTAAGGTAAAAACAAATTAATATTTAAGCAACGAGTGGAAGAACCAGTTAAGGATCCAAAGTGAAAATAAGAAATAAACCCTAAAAATTAACTCATATGATCTGTACTCCAGTCTTGGGTTTTTACCGTTGATCGTCTTCTTTGCTGATCGTTATAATAATGATTGTTTGTTCCTTTTTTTTTTTTTTTTTTTTTTTTTTTTTTTTTTTTTCTCTTAAGAACAAATTTTTAACATGTGCTTTGTTATTCACCAAATTACTTATGTATTATATTAGTTTGTTAATTATATATAGATATATAATTTCTATAGTATATATGTGTGTGTATTAATATTACTCAGAGAAAGTAAAACATCGGCTGTACAAATGTTTTCATGGTATAAATTATTTAATTAGTTTCTGAAACTTCTTACAATTTGTTTTATTTATTTATTAAAATTTGACGATTAACATAACTAATTTCTTTCTATTTTCTGATGGTAAAAATTAAAATAATTATATAGTATTTGAATGACTTAAAAATAAGTTCAAAACTAATAATTTGTTGTTATTAATTTTAATTAATTAGTCAAATATAAAAAAGTGGTTAACTAAATTATAATAAATATCATCAACCTTGGACACTAATTTGATAATTTACCACAAGATTTATACAAGTTATGCAGTTACACGCGTGCGTAGACGTAATATATGTTTTTGAAGTTAAAGGGAGTTTTGGCGGTAAGGTAAGATGAAAGGAAGAATTAAAGACATAGTCGAGGAGGATCTGAGGAAGGGGGAGGAAGGAGACTCGAAGAATTAATTCACCAACGAAGAGAGACCGGATCATGTTTTCTTGGTCTCTAAAGTTACCTCTCTTGACTTCCAAAATCTCTTTGTGCTTCAACCAAAGTCCTTTTTTTTATAATTTTTTAAACATATATATATATATATATATTCCACACCATTACCAAGATAAAATCATACAAACGTTTTATCAAAGACTTGTTGGGGAGAAGAGTCTCCTTATGATAATATTGAAAACCCATCTTAGAGATTACCATTTAAGTATTTAACACCTAATTAATATTAATTAACATGTGCACTCAACAACCACCAAGTAGATTTAAATCAACATGTCCATTTTGTTGAGATTAATGAATTTGACTAATTAATTTCATTTTAACTAATTTAGTATTAAGTAAATAAAATTAGAGATGTAAAATACCATCGTGATTACTGCTTATAATCCTAATTAACCATAAATAACTAAACCAAACAATTAAGCAGTCATTTGCTGAAGATTATGAGACACGACAGACAATTTGTACTTTTTGATTTTACATTTCATTCTTTTTAAGAAAGAAAGCAAAAGAACATCTCTCTTTTTGGGATTCTTTAGGTCACTAAAAAGACAAGCCTTTTATCTCCAACAACTTTTATTTTATTTTATTTTATTTTTTTTGGGTTGATTTTGAGAATGTCTTCATCTTTAACTTCAACCTCTTTCCCCGGTCACCGGTAAAATGACTTCCGTTCCTATTAAATGTATAATATCCCATATTCATATTAAAATATCAAAAGTTTCTTTACATTAACAAATTAAATTACTAAAATATTGATAAATTTTTATGATTTCAGTATAATTAAAATTAATATTTTAATAAAATAAGTTTAGTGAAGTTTTGATGGATAAATAATATCCTAGTTGTTCATTGTCCTTGTTTTTTCTACCTATTTATGATTGAATTTAATAAAAAAATAATAATACGAACTAAATATAAAACTAAAATGCCCATATATTTTAATAAAAAATTATTATATTATTACAATTCATAATAACAAAAAAAAAATACAAATTTTTAAATTCTATTAAATCAAGTCTTTTTATTTTATTTAACTATCCTTTTATATCATTGATATTTTTATTATTATTAATTAGTATAATAATAAATAATAATTAAAAGAACGAAATGTCGTTGTTGATATATTTAAATAAGTAGAAATGTATAAAATTAATTAATTAATTAATTAAAATTAAATGATTTAAGAAAAAAAAGTTTTTTATATTTATACTCAATTATAATAAATAATAATGTAAAAAATAAAATTTAAAATTTAATAAATTGATGTAAAAGTTAAAACAATTTTACCGAACCAAAAGATTTTATTTTAATTTACGGATACAAAAATAAGCAAGAAATTTAAAAAAAAAAAAAACAAAACAAACAAAGAAAAATGATAACCGAAAGTGCATATGAAGCGGAAAAATACGTTTGTTTTTATTTGTATATTTTTTATTTTTTATTTTTTAAAAAGTAAATAAGAAAGGCGGAAGACTGAGATAAAGTGGAGACATAATTGTAAATTGAGAGAAACCGATGATTCCCAGTCCAATAGCTGGTAAATATCAGGACACGTGTCAACACGGGAGGAAAAAGACAGAATCGCTGTTCATTGGTCCTTTCAACAAAACCCTTAATTTACATATTTACCCTCCTTTTCAGGTGGAAATTACTTGCCCAGACATGTCATTTTACCATTCCCCCCTTGTCTCGGGAGTACAACTGTAAAAAAACACTTGTTCAATTTTTTTAACTGTCAGTAGATTACATTCCTTACGGTCGGAAATTTACAGCTGTAATAGACATTATATGAACTGTTGGTGAGGAAAACGAAATGTTTATAAAAAAATAATTTTTTGAACTTTAAATATTTTTAATTAGATAAAAATCGAATTTAAAGTTTCTAATTTAGTAGGGACAAAAAAAATATCATCTAAACTAAAAGTCAATTAAAAAATAAAATAAAATAAAATTTTGACAATCATATTACTAATAAACGAAATACGTATTTAAATATATCTAATAGTTGACTAAAATACGAAAATCGTAACTTATAACAAAAACACGAAAATCGTAATTTATTGCAAATACGAAACCGACTTAAAATTTCTCTAATTAGCATTAAAAAGCACCAATTTTGGGTTGGAATATAGCATTTTGGTTGATAATTTTCCTAAACCAAAAACAGGAAGAACATTTATACCAAGCAAAAAGAAAAGCAGAGTATCAATGTACCCAGGGTAGGAATAAATCACAGTTATGCAAAGTAAATAAAATAAAAGTGGAAAAGAAGATTACCCGCACCTTGCACACACGTATTGCACATCAATGGCCGCTTAAGACAATAACCCTTTATTTTTAGATGCACAATCATGTAAAATCCATACTTTGCCCTTCTTCTCTCTCCACCTTTGCCCTAGAAAAAGGCACTTCCTTCCCTTCATAACTCCTCCGCGGCAGTCTTTTCAGCCTCCAAGCTTGCGAGAGAGAGAAGAGAGAGGGAGAGGGACTGATTTACTATATAGTTTTTTTGTTCTTATATTTCAATCTTCCTCTGTTCTTCTTTTTTTTTTTTCTCTTCCGTGAAATCTGTTTATTGATCATATTCTTTTCTATAAATCGATCTGATAAGAACCCATTTGCTATCGGAATATTTATATCTGTGATTTGATTGAATTTGTTGGGTTATAAAACTTGTTTGGAGACTAAATAGAGAGCTCTCGTTTTGTCTGGCAATGGCGCCGAGTTTTGACAGTGCTGTTTCGAGTCTTATCTGCACAGAAGATAACAGCATTTTCGATGATAACGAGAACTATGGGAGTGTAGTGGGGGGGTTTGACGATCGTAGGAGTTATCGAACCCTTTATCATTACCGGGGCTCCGATTGTGACGTCGGGTTGCCGTTGCAGAGTGAGGAGTGTTTGGCTATGATGATTGAGAAGGAAACCCAACATTTGCCTGCTTCTGATTACTTGAAGAAGCTGCGAAATGGGGATTTTGACTTAAACGCTAGAAAAGAGGCTGTTGATTGGATTGGCAAGGTGGGTTATTTCGGTTTCCATTGTTGATTGATCAGAATAAGAAATTCATATATTTTTTTAGTTTCAATACTATTTGATGGGTACTCATAAATTTTGCAGATTTGAATTGGGTTTCTTTTGAATTTGATTAATACGAAACTTTTTCATTGAATTGATTGTGCTCTGTTCCCCCTTTTTGTATTGGTTTTACGAACGGAGTCTTTTGATTTTTGATTGAATTTTCTTTTTGTTTCCATCTTTACATAGCTGTGGACCTAATGTGAAATGGGATTGGTGGGTTCTTTCTTTTCGTGTTGGGTCCAGCCCTTACAAAGAATTAAAATATTTATTCCCCTGTTCTTCTATTTTCTTTGTTTTTCTCTGGGTTAAACCTTGTTTGGAAGTACTTTTATGGGTTGTGATTAGTTGACGATTAAAATGATGGTTTTGATCCAAACAGGTTCATGCCCATTTTGGCTTTGGTCCTCTTTGTGCGTATTTGTCAATAAACTACCTGGATAGATTCCTCTCTGTCTATGAATTACCTGTAAGTTGAGGGCTGAATAAAATTGTTGTTTCTGTTCTTTTTTTTTTTTTTTATATTTATTTAACTCATGAGTACGTTTCAACCGCTTAATGATTTACAGAAGGGCATTGTCTGGATGATGCAATTGTTGGCTGTAGCTTGTTTGTCTCTTGCTGCTAAAATGGAGGAAACTGAGGTTCCTGTATCTCTAGATCTACAGGTTAGCACTTCATTATTAACAAAAACAATTTGTTTGATCCAAACATGCCTTTAATTTTTTAATACTAATTTTTCATGGGTTTGTTTTAATGGGTATTTGGTTGTTTATAGGTGGGTGAATCAAAATTTGTATTTGAAGCCACAACCATACAAAGAATGGAACTTCTTGTGCTAGGCACTTTGAATTGGAGAATGCAAGCTGTTACTCCTTTCTCCTTCTTGGATTATTTTCTTCACAAGATCAATGGTGATCAACCTCAGCTCAATGCCACAACAATGTCGAGATCAATTCAACTCATCTCGAGCTCGATAAAAGGTTCATTACATTCATACACATATGTCACTAACTTCATAACCCTTCCTAATAATCTCAGTGTATGAATCCAAATCCACTCAAATTAAGTTGCATTAAAAATTGTCCATCCGATTATACAAATTTCGTCTTGATACGAATTGAGTTCATGTCGAAAACAGAATTTTCTCTCTATTGTTAATAATTTCATAATCAAATTATGTTAGTTGATGATGATAAAATCAAAGGGTAGTACTATGAGAAATGATAAAGACAATGGCGGGAAGTGGGGGACTGATTTTTGGTGGGTGTATTTATTTATGGCAGGGATTGACTTGCTGGAATTCAGGCCTTCTGAGATTGCAGCTGCTGTAGCAATTTCTGCTTTACTGGAGAACCAAACACTAGACTTAGAGAGTGCAATTTCTCATCTTGCTCCTTACATTGTTCAAAAGGTAAAAAAAAAAAAAAAATCACCCAAAAGTTTAAAAAAAAGCAAAAAAAGTTTTTACTGGCTGTATTATTTTTACTAATTTTTTTAAAAAAATAATTTCAGGAGAGAATGTTGAAGTGCATGGAATTGATGAAAGACGGGTCTGGGTGTATTAAGGCTGGAATTGGCTCAGTCTCGTCAGTCCCTCAGAGCCCAATTGGCGTCTTGGACGCCGCATGTTTGAGCTGTGACTCAACTCTCGGCTCATGTGCGAATTCCTCACAGACCACCCCACCCACCAAACGAAGAAAGCTAAACAACAGACCTTGTCAAGTGGAGAGATAAAAAATTACATATGCCTGCCTTCCTGCCTTTTTGCTTTGCCGTTTTGTTATATAATAGTAGATTTTTTTGTGTGTTTTATTAGGGGCACCTCCTATAAATTTAGACCCAAATCAGAGAAAAGAGAAGTGGAAGATGGAGAAAGATAATGAGATCCCAAGAGAAAAACCCTACAATAATTGGAGTTAGGAAGGTTACTAGGGTTTGACGTTTTGGATGAGTCGACAAGATATTTTCGGATTAGCTCATGTATATTTCGATATTTTGGACAAGTCGGGGAAGTATGATGGGTCGGCTTGTGCTTATTTTGATATATCTCGATTGAGTTAGATCGGAACTGAAAATTGGGGATTTTTTTTTTTTTTTTTTTTTGAGTAAGTTGGGTCATGGTTGAAGGTTGGAGATGGATTTTGATTTTTCATGTTGTTGGCATGAAAAGTAGGAGGGTCACCAGCTGTTAAATATTAGACTTCTTAACAGCTAGAGACAGAAGAAGAAGAAGAAGAAAGAGGGAGAAAAAAGAAAAAAGAAAATGGTTTTTTCTATTTGTTAATTTATTTTTCTGATGAGATAGAGTTTGTTCTATTGAATATTTTAATTTATAAAAGATAGTAAATGCTAGATTTGTTCTACTTCAATTTCCTTTTCTAAAAGAAAATAGTTATTTTAAATAAATTTAAATCACAAAATTAATTCACTCCTGTTTTTTAACATATATATATATACACACACACTTGTTATAATATAGATGACACCCATAACTATATTATTGTAACAAAATCTAATCTACATATATACATATATATATGTATATCACATGTTATTAGATCCCATGTGAGTCCATGTCACCTAATAAAAGCCATACATTGGATTACTTCTGGTTCACCACCATATGCATTATATATTATATTTATATATGTATGTGAGCGTAGACTGATGCCCTAAAAAGATTCAAGTTTCAACTTGAGACTACTTTGGATGCCTAGAAACTGTAAGATCGAAATGCATTGAAGCTAGCCTCTTTTATTTTATTTTATTTTTAAATATTTTAATTAATTGGATGAATCAAAAACTAAATTATATATTATTAAATTTGAGATTAAATTAATGATAAATTATAAGAATATTGTTATCGTTTAACTAAACTTACTCAAATAAAATTTAAAAAAAAATTAAAAAATCAGTCAAATTAATAAGAAATATATTAACTTTACTAATCCCAATTTTATTTTTTAAATTCCTTTATTTATGAGTAATAGTTATTATTCAAATCGATTATAATTATAAGGTCCGTCATAGTGGATATTTTTTTACAAAACTATAAGCTTAAAATCGTATTAAAAATTTTAATTTAAAAAATAATTTAATTGTCTTAAAAAGCATAATAAGATGCTTGAGTTTTTGACCAAGAAAAATATTTGGTTGAGAGTCACAAAATGACAGCTTTTCGCGGAAAACCACGAGATACGCTGGAAAATCCTGCCATATGTATACAAACTTTGGATATTTTTTAAACATGTATGGATTTAAATTATGTATT